ACCCTTCCCCATGGTGTGCTTTGTCCATCTTTCTGGACGAGCGGTACTTGTGCGATATCTGAAAGCTCTCGGGGCCGATGGGCGTGCAGAGCTCCCAGCAGTGAGTGCCACTCGTTCCCAACCTCGTTGGTGTCAGATGCCCAGGTTCATGAACACATCACAGGCGTGTGTTGTGGAGCTAGTGATCCATGGGGTGCACTGGGGAAGCTCCAGCACGGCGGTGGGAGAGGTGAGTGACAGCAACGTGTGCACACACCTTGGATGCTTTGATATGAAATAAATGCTGGTGCCAGCATTGTGCGGTGGGTAAGGCCACTGTGTGCAACAGCAGCATCCCATATGGGCACCTGTTCCAACCCTGGTTGCTCCACTTCTGATGCAGCTCCCTGCTAATGTGCCTGGGAAAGCAGAAGATGGTACAAGTGCTCGGACCCCTGCACCCACGTGGGAAACCTGGATGGAGTTGCTGGCTCCTGGCTTCAGCCTGGCCTATACCTCCTCGCCATTGCAGCCATTTGGGGAGTGAACCAGCGGATGGAAGATGCCCCCCCCCCTTTGTGACTATGTTTCAAGTAAATAAATACGTTTTTAAAAAAAAGAGGCACTGCCGCACTGCAACAGCCCTCTTCCTATTTTTTAAATCGACGTCAGCCTACTTTCAGTTACAAGCAGCAGTCGGTTTTAAGGCCTCCTGTAGCAAGCGCTTCAGATGCTCAGGGTGGAAAGCCTGCATTTGTGAATGCTGGATTTGCTTAACGCGTACGCTTAACGACCCACAGCTCTGGGCACTGGGCTGCGCGTTGAAACACAGCTGCTGGTGTCAGGGGTGTGACGCGTCCCTGCTTCTGAGTCCTGAACAGCCGAGCTGGCATTTGGAGCTGCCCCCTTCTGGGCACCGTCCATGGCAGTGGGGGTGCAGGGTGTCCACTTCAGACCCCACGGGGACCCCATGCTCCAGCCCCTGTCTTCTCTGGTGCCCTCATCTCTCTAGTTGGATCCTGCTCTCTGCTAAGCCCAGAATGAGCCAATTAACCCTCCCGGGCAGATTCCTGCTTGAAGAAGGATTCCTTCTGTAACAAATCCCTCTCAGAGAAAATTCATTTGTGAAGGAAAAACCTGACACCAAGGACAAGCAAAAGTCTAAAAAGACTCTTATAAGCCGTGTCTACTCTTACCCATATTTTGAAAAACAAGAGTTGAATGCTACTTTATAATTCTGAATCCTTGAACTTTTTTGGATGTTACGCTTAGCAAGAATTGTTCTCGCTGCTGTTGAAGAATGGCAGCCCAGGTGAGTAAAACATGAGCACACACAGTTACAGCTCACTCCCAGTGACATACTCCCCTGTCATGGTTGCTGTGTGGTGACATCCAGAAAGCCCCAAGTCCCTAAGAGTGGCACTCGTAAACTTTAAAGTGCCTGCCTTCATGTTTCTCAAAATAATAGCTCCATGCAAGAGAAACTGCACTTAGCTACCATGAAAGAGTTTTCCCTATCTTTGTGTGGAGAGACAGCATTTAGGGGACATTATTCTGCAGGTGATGCTCAGTCAGTGACTTCATTATTTGGCCCCACTGTTTACATAGGGAGGACCACCAGTGCTGGGGAAGCAGTGGCTGACCCGGCAGTGGGTGACAGGCAGCAGCGCTGGGGCGTGTGGCAGGCCTGGGGTGCAGCCCTGGGAACTCGAGACTGGGTGTAAGATCCTGAGTGATTCAAGGGTTTTCCCAAGGAGAGTGCTGAAAGGTGCACCCCATGTTTGTTGTCAAGGTGACTCCCTCCACGTCTGCTTAAAGCAGCTCTCGTCCTTGGGGCTGGTGGGGGGCTGCCCACGTCTTTACAGTCTGCAGTGACGTATTCCAGCTGCCTGCTGTTTCCTTGAAAGGGTTGCGCACTGTATTGGAAACATTACATTCTTTTGGTTTTGGAAAAATACTTCCTGTTCGGTTCAAGCCATGAAAGCCTGTTAGCGTTTCACACCTGGAAGCCGGTGCAGGAGGGAGCCTGCTGGTCCCTCACTCAGATCCAAGGAGGCACCTGCCCGGGCCCAGGGTGAGCGCCTAACATTCCCAGACCTGTTGACTGCCCTGGGCGCCTGCCCGGTGCCAGCAGGGGGTCCTCCTGGGGTGGGCCCATGAGTACATGCGTGTGTGTGTGTTCTTTCTTCCTGGGTTCATGGAGGGCCCTTTCCCACTGCTGGGCCTCCCATGCCCCCTCCGCGCCCCGCCTCCTACCGTCATTGCCTGTACTTCCTGGAAATCGAGCCAGGCATCCTCTGCGTAAGAGGGACGCTGTCCACCGAGGGACAGGCTGGGCGTGGCAGGTGGGGTTATTTGTGAGCAGCGGGGCCTTCCAGCTTTGCGGGGGCCCCGGTGGTTGCTTAATGTGCCCCAGGGCCCTGCTCCCCGGAAGGAAATGGTTTTACGGCGGGAAGGGGTGGGCCACGCTCACTGCATTTCTCCGGACCACACATGCAGGAATGTGCAGGCAACCCTGGCAGCCTGCAGTGAGTGGCAGGAGCCCGCTGGGCCCCTGGGCAGCCCCCTCACTGCAGACCCACAAGACAGCAGTGACCTCTCCTGGCCCTAGCAGGAGGGGCCCTGTGCAGGGGCCAGCGTCGGCTTTCTCGCCGCTCTCCTGCCAGCCTTGCCACCCCTCTGCAGCCCTGCAGCTTTTCTTAATTTGCTCGGCCACTCACCCAGTCTCTTGCCACCCAACCCGAGCAGCTGGATGAAGGGAACAGCACTTTCAGAGCAGGGCTCACTCGAGCCACAACCCAGTGTACCAAGTGCTCAGCGTGGCAAAGGCCCACGGAGGGGCCTTGGGAGGGGGGCAGGGACACTGAGCAGGGGTCGGGGGTGATTGCTATGAAAGACTGTGGCTGGGTGGTCCAGGGGGCTGGGGCTGCAGGGCACAGGAGGTGGTGACCATCCTAGGCTGAGTTGGGATTTGAACTCAGGACCCAGTGGCCCCTGAGGTCTTGTCCTTGCCTTGGGGGGGTCAAGGAAGGCTCCTATGGGGGCTGGCTGCCGTGAGGTGGCTCTGAGGATGGAGGAGGAGGGATGGAGCCCACAGCAGGGAAAATGGGAGCCCGCTGGGAGCTGACGAGGTGGGATGCAGCGTTGAAATGCCCTGGGGGGCGTGGCAGAGCCCCAGCTGGGGCTGGACCAGGTGGAAGCCAGGATTCAGGAACTCCATCCAAGTCTCCCACATGGGTGGCAGGGGCCTACGCACTTGGGTCATTGTCTGTTGCCTTTGCAGGGAGCTGAATCGAAAGCCAAGCAGCCTGGACTCATCTTGGTGACCTGATATGGATGCCAGCGTTGCAAGTGGTGGCTTAACCCACAGTTCCACGGTGCCAGCCATGCAGAAATAGACTTTTGTGTGAATTCTACACTCCCATGGTTTTGAAACTCTGAACAGTGAAGGGTGTGTTTGCTCAGCTGTGCCACACTCTGTGTGCCTAGGGCAGTTTCATCACGGACAGGGAAGGGCCTGTGAGTGTGGCCCTGGCCCTGGCCCTGGGCCCCTTGGGGCTCTAGGCATGCCCTGGGCTATGTGCGCTTCTCCCCTGTGGACTCATCCCGGAGACGTCAGCTGACTGAAGCCGTCGAGTGCTGCTCATAGCAGCGGAAAGGCAGCCCTGGGAAGGGAGGAAGCTGGTGCCCCGAGGGTTGAAGTGGGGGTTATGTCCAGCTCTCTCCAAGCAAAGCAAAGCAGAGGCAGGGTCCAGAGAAGGGGGCAGGGTCCCCTCCCCGTCAGGAACACAGAGAAGGGGGCAGGGTCCCCTCCCTGCTCAGGAACACAGAGAAGGGGGCAGGGTCCCCTCCCCGTCAGGAACACAGAGAAGGGGGCAGGGTCCCCTCCCCGTCAGGAACACAGAGAAGGGGGCAGGGTCCCCTCCCCGTCAGGAACACAGAGAAGAGGCAGGGTCCCCTCCCCGTCAGGAACACAGAGAAGGGGGCAGGGTCCCCTCCCCGTCAGGAACACAGAGAAGGGGGCAGGGTCCCCTCCCCATCAGGAACACAGAGAAGGGGGCAGGGTCCCCTCCCCGTCAGGAACACGCCACCAGGGGCCGGCCGCAGCCTCCCGTCACTGCAGTCGGGATGTGAGTGCTGCTTCCGGGCTGGACTGGATGCTGTCCATGTGCGAGGGCTCACGGATATAATTTTCCTTCCAAAGCATGGTGATAAGAGACGCTGAGGAATCGTGTACTAACACATCGAATGGTCTGCGTGAAGTTGTGCAGCCCACTCCAGCAGGTGCACTTGCGGTCACTTGGGGAAGAGCAGCCCACGGGAGGGAAACACACCCCCGGCTGGGCTTTGACAGAGCTATCAGGGTTCTGGCCAGCTGGCCTCGGCTCTCCAGCGCCTGTACCCTGTGTCCACTCTGAGGAAGGGCCTGGGACTTCCTTCGCAAGGCTGTGGGCCTGCAAGGAAGACTCCAGGAAGGCAGGGAGTGCACGTTGAATCTCTGGCTCAGGCACCAGTGCTGCCACAGGCAATGAATTCTGTGGTCTTTGCTGCCTCCTCCTGCACTCCTTTGCCTTTTTCAAAAATACGTTTTTTTTTCAAGATTTATTTATTTATTTGAAAGTCAGAGTTACACAGAGAGAGGAGAGGCAGAGAGAGGAGAGAGGTCTTCACTCCCCAATTGGCCACAATGGCCCGAACTGTGCCGATCCAAAGCCAGGAGCTTCTTCTGCGTCTCCCACGTGGATGCAGGGACCCAAGGACTTGGACCACCTTCTACTGCTTTCCCAGGCCATAGCAGAGAGCTAGATCAGAAGTGGAGAAGCCAGGTCTTGAACCGGCGTCCATATGGGATGCCAGCGCTTCAGGCCAGGGCATTAACTCATTGCACCACAGTACCAACCCCTTGTAGGGGGGTGTTTCAAAGCTGGTGTTAAATATGTATCTTCTAATCTTCAAGAAATGAGTGACTTCCCCTTTAATTAAAGACTAAAATTAGTGGTGTGTCTCGTTTTCCCCTGCAGGCATCTACCCGGTGGATGTTTTGGAAGACGACCCCGACGGGCATCGGGAAGCAACCCTGACTTACTACGCCTCACTCAGGGAAGGCGCTCGGACCCCTCCCGCCGCGCTGCGCTTTCCCACAGGGGAGCAGGTTGGTTGCTGGACAGCTCCGTGAAGTCTAATTTAGCGAGTCCCGGAAGAGCCCTGCAGGTTGAAAGACAAATCTGGCTGAATCCAGGATTGCTTCCCCCTCGAGAAGCAGAGGGATCCTGGGGTCCTGAGTGTGAGTCCCAGGTCTGCCACGTGCTCGCTCTGTGACTGAGCGAATGTGTTAACCTCTCTGATCCAGCGCTCTCACGTGCGACCCTGAGATGGTAGCAGCGGTTACTCTTAGCGTTGTGAGGATTAAGTGAGATCCCGGATGCCAGGCCTGGCTGGACCCCTTTTCCCCATTTGTACAGTGAGAGGATTGATGGTGGCTAAGGCTTGATTCAGTTCTAAAATGGTGTGATGTGGAATGCAGCTGTGTCCGTTACTATCATTGGCATTGATAAAATTCTGTCTTCGTGAACAGGGAACCGGAAGGGAGCAGAGAAATGAGAATCATTTGCTTGTTCGGATGGTGGGATTGGGGGTGACTTTTTTTTTGACAGGCAGAGTGGACAGTGAGAGAGAGAGACAGAGAGAAAGGTCTTCCTTTTGCCATTGGTTCACCCTCCAGTGGCAGCCGCGGCCAGCGCACCACGCTGATCCGATGGCAGGAGCCAGGTGCTTCTCCTGGTCTCCCATGGGGTGCAGGGCCCAAGCACTCGGGCCATCCTCCACTGCACTCCCTGGCCACAGCAGAGAGCTGGCCTGGAAGAGGGGCAACCGGGACAGAATCCGATGCCGCGACCGGGACTAGAACCTGGTGTGCCGGCACCGCAAGGCAGAGGATTAGCCTAGTGAGCCTCGGTGCTGGCTGGGGGTGACGTTTTTAAAACTATATTGCTGTTAAACCCCCTAGCCCCCGCCCCATGCTGTGGCAAGAAAAAGGCGCCCATGGGTTCTTAGCAGCGTCTGGGTCAGTCACCCATCGCCCAGACGTCAGGGTGACCTGTGAAAGAGAAGCACTTATGATTCTGAGACTTCACTCATCCGGGAATCATTGCTGCCTGGCGAGGGTGGTTGAGAAAGACAGAGCTTGTTCCAGTGTAAAGGAAAGCAGCATGCGGTGTGGCGTGCGTGGGCTGGTTCACAGGCCCCCAGCCCCAGCCCCCACAGTCCAGTTCCCTTGTGTGACAGCTGGGGCCTCTGCAGGGTGGGAGTGAGGGGGGCTGAACCTGGCTGTCATTATGTCCCCTGATGGCTGCGAAGCCAGAGAAGAAACGGAGCTCTGGGTCCAGGGCAGGGCGGAGTCTCGGGGCTGCAGGTGGGAGTGAGGGGCAGGTGAAGCCCAGCCCAGAGGAGCGCCAGCTGCGGCTGCAGGGGTCAGCCTCCGCGGCGTCCACACACTGTAGAAGCCAGTGGGGAGTGCACCCAGTGAGTGGTCCTTTGAGCGAGCGCTGATGGTTGCCAACATTAGGTTGCATTAACGCGGTAGAAGTGCCCGCCTCCCCTTTCTGACGGCAGAAAGCTTCCTGGGTAGTGTCGCTCCCCCTCTTCGTGGAGGAACGACACTAAGCCCTGCCTAGGCTTCATATCCGAGTCACAGCACCATTATGTCGCTCCCCCTCTTCATGGAGGAACGACACAGGACCCTGCGCTGTTCTTTTGTCTGCTTGGCCCTCCCCGGGTTTGCTGCTGGTTCTTCCCGGGTTGGCTACCGACCCTTCCACCTCCGTGGAAGGGCGGTTCCCCCTGCCACTTTCCCCACTTCCGCGGGGGAGTGGCACACCGCCGGCCGGCTCTCTCGGGGGCTGCACAGGTGTTCCCTCAGATGTTCCTCTTAGATGTTCCTGGTGCATGCCGTCTCTCTCCTCCTTTATAGTCCTCCTCCGCCAATCCCAACTCAGCTGCCCACATGCCGAGTACGCTGCTCTCCTCCAATCAGGAGCAGGATCAGCTCCTGGAGGTCATCACTCAAGTTGGCAAGAGGCAGCTGCGTAGAAGCTGTTTTCTCCTCTCCCAGCGCCATATTGTGGGAGAGCAGATGCATAGAATAAGTCTTAATTCCAGTAACTCAGTCCAGTCCGGGTTGCTCCCCACAGGTAGAGCCCGTCCATGTCCTCCCTTGGAGCAGCTGGTGATGGGATGACAGCAGCTTCCGAGCACTGGGCAGGCGGGCACAGGTGCGTCTGGAGGGGCGTTGAGGGTGTTGAAGCCGCCTTGCTGTTGGCCCGTTTCTCTTTGGTTTTTGAACCCAGAGGAGGAGGAAGTGGCTGGGGGACACATCGCGTCCTGCAGGGTTTCCTTTTCATAAAGAGCGCTGCTTCCCTGGTGTGGACGTTGTCATGCTGGGGTTAGGATACGCTGGGACTCGCTGATGTCCCTGTTGTAGAACACACGTGCTCAGTGTACACTGTGGGAAACAGAGGATGCGGAAGGTGACCCCCCCCCCCGGGAAGCACTGTAACCCTGGATGTGTTTCCATTTTATTTACCTGTGTTTTGCATACTCTGTAAACTGTAGGCGAGCTCACTGAATGCACTGTGGCCTTTGCTAAGCACATTTCCCTGTCGGTAGGATGCTTTGCAAACCCAGGGCTCGGTGGCCTGGCCACAGCCATCCTGTCCCGGGGACTCTGGGCAGTGTTGGGGGGGGCACTCAGGGGTCTCAGGATTTAAAGATCTGTTTATTTGAAAGGCAAAATGACAGAGAGAGAGGGAGAGACAAAAGAGAAAGAGAGGTGCTCCGTCCGTGGGTTCACTCCTCAAAAGGCTTAATCTGCCAGGTCTGGGCCAGGCTGAAGCCAGGAGCCAGGAACTCCATCTGGGCCTGGGTGGCAGGGGCCCAAGCACACGGGCCATCTTCTGCTGCCTTCCCAGGCATTAGCAGGGAGCTAAGGCGCTGGGACTCAACTGGCTTTGATAGGGGATGCCATGTCTCGCGTGGCAGCGTAACTGCTGGGCCGAGTGCCGGCCGCGGGCGAAGGGTTTATTCAGAAATGATTCTCCGAACCTGTGTAGGCTGCAGACCAGCAAGCTGCCTGCCCAGCTCAGCGGCCACATTCCCGTCTCATCTCAAACTCCCCTCAGGGTTCAAAAGCGACCTTGACCTCTTGCTTCAGAAGCTGGGAGCTGAGGTCGATGGCTGTAAAGAGGGCTTTGGATGTGGGTACTGGAGGCAAGACTCTGGGGGTGGTCCCAGTGCAGAAACGGGGGTCCTTGCTCCCAGCTACTCACAATTGAGCTTCTCTGGCTCAGCCAGCCCTATGCCTGGAGGCCCAGAGGGCATCTGTGCCCGCCTCCCTCCCTCCTCCCATCCTCCTCTACCTCTCCCTACCAGCCTGCCTCTGCTCCTCCCACCCTCTCCTCCTCTTCCTGACTCACCTCCCTCTCCTCCTCCCTACCTCCCCTCCTCTCCCGCCGTCGCTCTCCTGCCTACTACCACCCCCCCTACTCCTCTTCCCTCCCACCCCCTCCTCCTCCTCCCTCTTTCCCCTCCTCCTCTCCTCCTCTCTCCCCTCCCTCTTCTCCTCTCTCCCCTCCCTCTCCTCCTCCTCCTCCTCCTCCCTCCCTTCCTTCCTTCCCAGCACATCAGCAGGGAGCTGGACTAGAGGTTGAACAGCCAGGACTCAAACAGGCACTCACGTGGGATGGTGGCGTTGCAGGCAGCTACTCCACACTCTTCACCACGACGCTGGCCACACTGTGTTTCCTGAGTCTAGTGGTGTGGCTTTGAGCCAGGGCAGTAGGAGCCCGAGCAGCATCCGGGGCAGGGGTGGACACATCCCAGCTGTTTCCATGAAGGGACACCAGGACCCTGGGCTGACGGCTAAGGCTGACTTGGCAGGTGCGCGTCTCAGGTGGGGATTGGCCCTCAGCTTTTGTAGGATGGGGCCTCTGGCCTCAGAATCAGCCCTTAAGGCATTCAGATCTGGCCGAAGAGCCCATGGGAGTATTTTAGGCATGGAAAGCCAAGACACTCTGGAAACAAACAAAGAAACAAACACAAACCTAAATGAAAGATCTCTGCGAGTGAGATCCCAGTGGAAAGAATAGGCCATCAAAGAAGGAGGTGCCTTTCTCTGAAGGGAGGAGAGAACTTCCACTTTGACTATGACCCTGTCAGAATAAGATCAAAGTTGGCAAACTCAAAAGGCTTCCATAGCCTTGGCAACTCATGACAAGAGCCTGGGAGATTGCTGACACCTTAAACATGAGTGTCAATTTGTTAAGTCAACAACAGGAGTCACTGTGCACTTACTCCCCATGTAGGATCTCTGTCCTTAATGTGTAGTTCAATGTGAATTAATGATATGACTAGTGCTCAAACAGTATTTGGCACTTTGTGTTCTGTGTGGGGGCAAACTGATGAAATCTTTATTTAATATATACTAAATTGATCTTCTGTATATAAAGATAATTGAAAATGAATCTTGATGTGAATGGAATGGGAGAGGGAGTGGGAGATGGGAGGGTTGCGGGTGGGAGGGAAGTTATGGGGGGGAAAAAGCCATTGTAATCCATAAACTGTACTTTGGAAATTTATTTCTACTAAATAAAAGTAAAAAAAAAAAAAAGGTGATAGACGGCTGTTGGGGAAGAAAGTGGAGAACGGGAGATCCCGAGAGCATGTGGCAGGTGTTTGAGCAAAATGTTGCTGGATGGCTGATCCCCTGCCCTGGTGTGCAGCTCAGAACGGCCAGGTTTCCTGTGTTCTGTGCCTGCGTCCTGTCCGGTGAACCTCTGTGTAGCAGTGTGTTGGCATTGCTGCATTGAATTTCTCGCGATGAAAGAACAAAACGCTTTTTCATTCTCTTTGCAGGTGAAACTTGAAGCTTCGTCTGTTTGCCTTTGCACTGTGTACCGTGATGACCCTCAGCACAAGCTATTGGTTTTGGTAAATCCCCAGGACACAAAGACAGGTTGGTGGTATTGATGGATTTCAAAAGCAGGGATCCTGATGTCATATATGACGGGTGGAACCCGACACCTGCATGTGGTGCCGGTGCCAGTGGGCTGCTCTGAGAAGACCATGAGGTGGAACTGAGTTGTCACTGCTCCCGTGGCCCAGCAGTGGTGGTTGCGCCTGCCGTGGATGCTCAGGGCTGTCCAGAGGTGCCCTGGCTGCCTGCATTCCCAGCAGTGCACGGAGCTGCACGCGCCGGGTGGCTGTCTTGTTGGCTCCTCCCTGCCACAGCCCTGGGAGAGTGCAGGCACTGACCAGGTGAGGCCCTGCAGCCTCTGAGAAATCAGCTGACCTTCCCATGGCCACACAGCTTAGCAGGGGAGGGTGCTTTTGCAAGATGACGACCGGGAAGGGGTTGTTCCTGGGGTGAAGTTTCTGTGATCTGGAATCCATTTATTCTCCTGTCCATTATGAAGATTGTATGCACCCTTCCAGCTCCAGGGCTGCATGGAGGCTTAGCTCTGCTCAGCTGCATCTGGGCAGGGGTCCGGGGCCTCTGGCAGCAGGCAGTGTCAGGTAGGCAGGAATGAACCTGTGCCCCAAGTCCCCGGCACACCGATGAAACAGCTCACTTCTGCCTTGTGGGGCTCGGGATTTAAAAATCAATCCTATTTAGAAATCCTGTGCTCCTTGCAAGTCCTGCAGTGGCCGTGGGCTGTCCCATAGAGGAAACACCACAGTAATAGGCTGAGTCAGCCCTCACGTGACATGACAGCGGGTGAGAGTTTGGGGCTCCGGGTCTTCGACTCCAGTCCACTGCTGTCTGCCTCCCTTAGGTGTAGATGTCTCTGTCACCCGTGTGTCTGTCTGGGGTTTGTTCTCAGAGAACGACCTGCCCCACTGGCATCACAGGGCCCAAGGTAGTGTCCCTGGGGCGAGTTATGCAGCACACCAGGCCACAGGAATGCCTCTCTTCTTGCTAACCGTGGAAGGGGTTTATCGATGTATTGCCAAAACCGTCTTGCTGCCCCAGGCTGCAGGTGGCTGATGTGATTAGCTCTTTCCCAGCGAGGTGCAAGATGTCCCTGCCTCCTCCCATGCCTTGCCTTCCATGAACAGAGGAGCCATGATAACCTCAGGCTTTCGACACTGCCTGGAGCATGCCACCCACCTCCAGGTCAGGGCAAGTCATACGCTGTGCCTGTGGGAGCTGCAGGTGCACAGATGGTCCAAAACCCTGAAATGGTGTTTGCCCATTTTGAGAAAATGTCCAAATATCAGCAGCCCCGCCTGGGCATTTAATAATATCCTGCATGTGAGTCTTTAATGACGATTTGCATAATGTAAACACGTGGCTGACTCTTATAAATCTGTTTCCCATTTATGCGAATGTGCTACAATAAATATTCATGAACTCCAAGAAATCTTAAGCAGACTCTTCCTGATATGTAATAGGGCTTTAAATAAAGCTTCCAAATGTTTTCCTGCTGCCACCGACTCGTGTTGGCCGTGATGTCTGCAGGGTTGCATAAAAGCACTCAGGTGTGGCTGGAGCTGCCTACTCTGCCGTTCTTCCCCAGAGTCATCATTCCTGACTCTGCTGCAGCCCGTAGTAGCAGGACCCTCTCCCCAGCTGTGACAAAGGTGCCACCTCACCCTGCACTTGCCGAGACCCTGGGCAATGCCGTTTCTGGTTCCTTTGTCATTTTCTCCCCCAAGTTCTGTCTGCGAAGGCCGCGCCCATTTGTGCATGGTATGTTTAAGTGGAAGCTGAAGAATCAGAGCTTTTTGATAGGCCTTGTCAATTATTGCTAAGAGGACTGAATCCACCGGAGTGACTTCTGACAACCCGGTGAGCAGATGGGAAGTCTGGCACTGTGTCCTGGCTGGTGGCCAGCAGGAAGGGCATGCGTGCAAGGTTGTGAGTGTCTCCTTCAGGACACTGTGTGTGTTTTCCTTCAAGGTAGCTTGGGAAGCAGGTGCCTAGTCCCTGTGGCTCCTCGGGCTCACTTCTCTGTGCAGGGGTTGGCTTCTGTCCCCTGAGGGCCATGGCCATGGCTGCAAGGACCGCCCCCCCCCCCCCACCGTGTTATTCCCCTTACTGCCTAATAACTTACTGACCTCAAGTGTTTACCAAGCTTCCTAGGTAACACCCATCCTCAAAAGTCGTAGTCTTGTCTTCTCTTCTGTATTAAATCAGACCGGCTTGTCCTGGTCTTCATGATGGCCTTCTAGCCATAGGCATGGACTTTTCTCATTTTTTTCCCTGTGTCTTGCACAGGATGAACTTGGACTTGGGTGTCAGATCCAACTGACATGGAACCCTGGCTCTGCCGACTGACTGGCAGACCCAGATAAGGCTCTCTGAGCATCAGCTTTGCCATTTGCAGAACGGGGGGTGGAGTGATGAGGGTACAAGGACCTATGGCAGGAAATTGAGGCTCTGGGACCCCCCAGCGGAGTGTGACGCCAGCTGGGCCCCGTGGGCTTCCACACACATCCCGGCCCCTGTTCCTCCTCCCGGGCCCGTTGTCTTAGACAAGCACGGGCTGCAGAATGGGGGCCTCCTCAGTGACTCCCGGCCACTCTCCTTTGCTGGGTCACGTCCCCGGCAGACTCTGTTTGAGGACTTCCCCGGCACAAGGTGACTCCGTCTGCTTTGACCTCCCCTACATGGGAGAGAATAGTTCCTCATGCTGATCCCACACTGCCTCGTTGGCTAAACGCCGCGCAGTGAACAGGAAAGCAGCACCTGACCAGAGACGGGCTGGGGAGGCAGCGTAGAGACAGGCACTCCTGTGGGTGTGAGCGTGCACAGCGTATGCAGCAGAGGGGTGGCTGATGTGCCAGCAGACCCAGCGCTGGGCTCTTGCAGTGCCGCAGCCCCGGCTGCCGTCCTCTGGCTGGCGCCCATCCAGGGGGAGCAGCTGACCATGTGAGCACTGGAAACCTTATGTATTTTGGGTAAGTGTTTGAAATACATGGTTTGCAAAAATTTCTCTTACTCTGTGAGTTAGCTTTTGAATTTTTTGATGGTATCTTTTAGAGAGCAGAAGTTTCTAATTTTTATGATCTCCAACTTATTCTTTCTTTTGTTGCTTGTGCCTTTGGTGTCATATCTCAGAAACCATGGCCCAAACCAAAGTCATGAAAATTTCTAGCTATGTTTTCCCATTGTATTTTACTTGGGTCTGTTATTTTGTTTGAAGAGTAAGTCCTTCCATCCAGTTAAATTAACTCTTCCTTTGGCTGTACAGTTTGAAGTTTCGAAGGTATGTGTTTTTATTTGCAACCCAAGTAAATAAAAACATGATGATTTTATTTACATAATTATTATACAGTTGAAACCACACCCAACTGATTATTTAGCAAAGATTTATGTTTCATCTCAGTGAGATTTCAAGACTTTCACTCTTGAACTTGAGAATGGAGAGAAATCTGGCTACAGAAATGATGACCTATGTTCAGTTGTGCTCCTGACACTAGCCTGAAGACACTATCAGTGTGCACTATCTGGGGGAATTCGTGCTGGTTTTAAATCCAGTGGTTTTTTTTTTTTTTAAGATTTACTGTATTTATTTGAAAGAGTGACAAAGGTGCTAATTCTCTACCCAGTTGGTTGCAATGGCTGGGGCTGAGCCGGGCTGAAGCCAGGGGCCTGGGACCCCATCTGAGTATCCCACGTGGGTCCAGAGGCCAAATACGTGGGCCATCTTTCACTGCGTTTCCAGGTGCATTAGCAGGGAGCTGAATCGGAAGCAGAGCAGCCAGGGCTCGAACTGGCGCTCCAGTATGGGATGCTGGCATCGCAGGAGGTGTGTTAATGTGCTGCGTCACAATATTGGACCCCAAAATGCAGTATTTCTTTCCTAGGCCCCTGTAGACCATCACTGCAGACCTGTGCTAGGTAGGAGGAGGTGTGGGGTGAGCCAGGCGTTAGTTCTAGACCGACACTCCCCCTTACACACTGGACAGCACTGGTTCCCGTGTGGACGCTGGGCCCATTCTTGCCGTTGCTGGCTCTCAGAGAGTGCGAGTTTCCCATTCAGGATCCCATGCACAGGATCCCGGCCTAGGCTGCGAAGTCCCTGGGCCTGGACCCTTGAGCTGTCGTCTCTGCACCGCTCGCTGTCTCCAAGGGCTGCCTGCAGTGCAGGCTCTGGACCACACACGTAGGTCTACTGGTCACTCTCCCTGTTGTCCTTGTTGGGACACCTGGCGGCTGTCTTGTCAGATGTTTTTATTCTTTAGGTCTCTTTCTGAAAGCACCTGTTTGATTTGATTTTCCCAGATAAGACCCAGTGGTCAGATGATCAGTGGGCAAGACCAAGAAGGCTCCAGACTTGGATGAAAGTAACAAATGCCACTGAGTGACACGAAAAAGACAGGCCGCCATGGTACTGCAGAACAAGGACACTCGGTATTGCTGAGGGTAGTGGGGACCGTCCTGGGTCTGGGCCTGTGTCCTGGCTGGCTCCTCTGCCCGGCAGGCTCCGGTGTTGAACCTGCAGTGGCAGCGCCTGCCTTGGGAGTCTGGCCGTGAGTCACAGCAGCCCCCTGCAGGGCATTTGCAAGCTGCTTTTCTGGATCTCCCCGTTATGCCCCCAGCCCCTGCCTGCACAGGAGCCAGGCTGAAGAGGAGTTCAAGGGGAGTGCGGACTGCCAATGATGCCTGGGTGCAAGACGGGTCTGGCGCAGGACTGGGGCTGGAGGCAGGGAAACCTGGGGCTGGGTCTTCAGCCCTCGGCAGAATGCCCTGCCTGAGGTTGGAAGGAGGAGCAGGTAGAAGGCGGGACCTGGAGCAGCTAGGGCAGAGAGGGCACGGATGGATAATGGCCGGGGGGGGGGGGTTTGGAGGTGGGGCACCTGTATGGTGGTGTACCTCACTCTGCAGCTCTTCCCTGGTCAGTGTCCATCACCTGGGCCATCTCCAGTGCTCGTTCTTTGCTCTATAGGGAGGGAGGGGTCATGTGCTGTAACTCTCTGGGCTCTGCCAGGTGGCTGCTCCCTTAGTGG